ATGGTACTAAATTTAATACAATTTGGATTTTGCGTGAACGGATGGGGCTGGAATCCTGAAATTTGGAATTCAAATTACTGTTGGATTGCAGTATTGCTATATGACGGTAGTTTTTAAAATTCGTAATTATGTGTTCTAAATTTTGTACAATTTGGATGTTGGTGAACGGATCGAGTAGGAATCATTAAATGTGGACCTAAGATTATTATTGGAGTGCATGACTGAGGTAGTTTTCGAAATTTGGACTTATGGGTACGAAAAGTACTAAATTTGGTGAATGGGTAGAACTGGAATCCTGAAAGTTGCAGCTATGACTAAGGTTTTTAGTAAATCCACGCCTATTTTGGACCTTGAAAAAAAAATATTCTTTAATAAATCCACGCCTATTTTGGATCTTGAAAAAATATTTTTTAATAAATCCACGCCCATCTTGGCCTTTCAAAAAAATATTCTTTAACAAATACAAACCCATTGTGTCCCTTCAAAGAAATATTCTTTAACAAATCCACGCCTATTTTGGCCCTTAAAAATATTCAATAATTTTGGCCCCTGAAATAATATGCTTTAAAAAATCCACGCTTATTTTGGCCGTTGGAAAAATATTCTTTAAAAATCTACGCCGATTTTAGCCCCTGAAAATATATTCGTTAACAAATAAATCTACTCCCGAATGGTCTTTAAAAAAATATTCTTAAAAAAATCTACTCCTTAATGAATCCACGAATATTTTGGCCATTGAAAAAATATTTTCTTAAAAAATCCTTTAAAAAAACGCTATTAAAAAATCTACGCCTTAAGTGACCACCTCCCCATTTTTGATTTAATTCGAATCTATATATACACTTACAACTCGATGATGTTGCGGAATATTTCCAGATTGTCAACAACATTTAAAACTCTAATTAAGACGCTGTGATACGTTCTACATAAGTTATTTATAAACACATTAAAGGCTTTGTAAAATGTCATTCATAACTTATCCTTTCATATTATGGGAGACTTACGACATGCGACATCTGAACTGTATCGCCTGACAGTAGTACATTTGATAAATTCGTAGGCAGATTAATACCTTCAAGATTGCGGTGCAGCTCCTGATATTGATATTTGTAATGGGAAATTAAAATGGTTTTATATTATTTTGTTTATTATATTTGTAAGTAAATATTTTAAAATTAATCTGTCACTTGTAAAACTCAAAGTCAAATTTTAATAAAAAAAATATTTTAGAAGGGATAATAAACTGTCAACACGATAGCACTGCGAAATAACTAATTAAAATAAAAACCACAAAGTAAAGGATCGGAATCTTTCGGCGCCGAATATATGATACTCCATGCCAAACCAAAACTGCAAATTTAAAGTTACCAATATACAGGGTTATCCATTTCGTGTTTTCAAAAGTAAGTATGTGAAACACTACATCATATCGCAGGATCTTAAAGACCAGTTGATATTGTCACGATGATAAATTACGCGGCGAGGAAAAGTCTCTTGCAAAAAAAAAAAAAAAAAAAAACACATGCGCTCCATTTGGGTGGCATCTGGAAACTTCTTGTTGAAACCACATATTCAAAACGTATACTTCAATGAGAATTCTTAGAACCCCAAATACGACAATTTGGTTTAATTATATACCAACCGAATTAGAAATGTGCTTAATCGCTGAAGAAAATGTTGTTCGGAAAACTGCTATTCATCGCCTATATGTGTACAGAATACAGTATGTCTAGAGTGAGTTGGCACGTTAAATAAAAAATATATATATATTTTTTAATTTTTTAGTAATAAACATAAATGTTTCTCTATTAGAGTTGTCTGTTGGATGTTTATACCCTTCACTACACTGTGGTACAGTGTATTATGGCTTTGTGCATATGTATGTAACATATAAAAGAAAACAAGATAGATCCATGGGTGCTTTCGAGAATAGGCATATAATGTCTTTCTGAGACGATTTATGTATGTCCTTCAATCTATGTATTCTTGTGAACAAAGCTTTGGATGAAATTTGCCACAGATTATTGGGCCCAAGGTCGAACTCTATTGAAATTGAAGAAAATCGATTCTGATTTAGATATAGCTCCAATATATATTTTCGTCCGTTTTGATCTTAATGGTGCACGAAACTCCGAATGTTTATCCGATTGAGACAGCGTTTAGCACAACGTACAAAAATTACTACAGATTGACATACGTGAAGTTTTGTTAAAATCGGTTCAGATTCAGATAGCTCCCATATATATTTTTGGGACAAAATTTTGCATAGCGCACTAACTCCATAGGTTCACAATTCAAATTGTACCAACTGTATTAAATTTAGTACACAGTAGTACGAATTTCCAAAACGTCTTACTTACCCAAACCTACACCACTGCAGTTATCCTAAATTCAAGTTTAAGGATTTCAACTCTATCAATTTACCAACATTCAAATTGTACCAAATGTAGTACCCAGTAGCACGAATTTTCAAAACGTCCTACTTATCCCAAAACCTTCACCCCAGTGATCCTAAATATAAGTTTCAGGATTCCACCTCTATCGGTCCACCCAAAATTCAAATTGTACCAAATTTTGTGCACAGTAGTACCAATTCCAAAATTTCCTACATACCCTTAACCTTGATCATAAATCCAAGTTTCAGGATTCCAACTCTATTGGTTCACCCATAATTCACATTGTACCAAATTGAGTATATAGTTGTACCAATCTCCAAAACTTCATACGTACCCCATTCCTACACTCCCACAGTCATCCTAAATCCAAGTTTCTGGTTTCCAACTTTATCGGTTGACCCACAACTCAAATTGTACCGAATTTAGTACACAATTGTACGAATTTCCAAAACTTCCCACTTAACACAAACCACACAGTGATCCTAAACCAAGCTTCAGGATTCAAACTCTATCGGTTCACCCACAATTCAAATTGTACCAAATTTAGTACACAGTAGTACTAATTTCCAAAACTTCCTACATATCCCAATTCTACACCTCCACAGTGATCCTAAATCAAAATTTCAGTATTCCAACTCTATCGCTTCACTCACAAATCAAATCATAGTAGTACCAATTTCCAAACCATCCTACATACCCCAACCCTACACCCCCACAGTGATCGCAAATCCAAGTTTCAGGATTCCAACTCTATTAGTACACATTAGTACAAATTCCTAAATCTTTTACATATCTCAATCTTACACCTCAACTGTGATCCTGACTCCAAATTTCATGATTCTAACTCTATTGTACCAAATTTAGTACCATTTAGTACCCATAAGTATTAATTTTTTAAACTAAATCCTGACCCCAATCCCACACCCCTACAGTGATCCTGATGCCAAATTTCATTGTTCCCGCTCTGTCGATTCACCCAAATCCAAATTGTACCAATTAAAGTACAATTTAGTACTTTTCGTACACATAAGTAACAAATTTCCAAAACTAAGTTCATATCCCATTCCAACACTCCGAAGGTAATGTTAATTTCAAATTCCAGGATTCCAGTTCAATTTGTATCTCCAAATTAAATTTGTGCCAAATATATTACCACATAGTACACATGAGTACACGCTTTCAAAACCATCTCCTTAAATAGACCCTGCATCTCAATCCTTTTTCGCATTCCAAATTTTAAGTTTTTAGCTTTATCCATTCACATGCTACGAAATTGTACCAAATTTAGTACATTTTAGTACTTTTTGCATAGTTATAGTTCGAATGTCCAAAAAACACTTTGCCATATCGATTCTACACTCCAACAGTGACCCTCATGTAAAATTTAAGAGTTCTAGTTCTACCGGTATCACATTTAGTACTTTTCGAAATTGTACCAAATTTAGTACATTTTAGTACTTTTCGCATAGTTATAGTTCGAATGTCCAGAAACCCCTTTGCCCTTATGTAAAATTTAAAAGTTCTAGTTCACATTTAGTACTTTTCGTACCGTTCTAGTACGAATCTATCAGCTTTGGACCAAGAGTGACCCTCACCCAAAATTTCAAGATTCTAGCTTCAGCCGTTTCGTCTGGGCTTTGATGAATCGTTAAATCAGTCAGTCAATCGCTTTACTCTTTTATTAGTATAGATTGAATTGAGTTTGGAATGTGTTGTGTTAAGTTTTGTTGATATCGGTTCAGATTTACCTATAGCACCCATTGGCAGAGGGTATTTAATTGAGTTTAGAGTGATGTGGTTTAAGGTTAATAAAAATCGGTTCAGATTTAGATATAGCTCCCATATATATGTTCGTCCGATTTTATGTAAATGGTGAACCAAATTCCCACGGTTTGTCCAACTATGACACAATTGTGCACAGTGTACTGAATTAAGCACAGAGTGACATATATGAAGTTTTGTTGAAATCGGTTCAAATTAAGATATAGCTCCCATATTTATTTCCGTCCGATTTCATATGAATAGTGCACTAAACTCCCAATGGTGAGATGTTGAATTGAGTTTGAAATGTTTTGTGTTAAGTGTTGTTGATATCGTTTCAGATTTGCATATAACACCAATATATATTTTCGTTCGATTGGATGTAAATAGTACTCCGAAGAGCCTATGTTAATTCGATTTATACGAAATTTTTCATAGATTTCACATTGGTATGTGTATAGCTCCTGTATGTGTATGGGTTGGTTCAAATATCTATGTAGTTAACAAGTTTCATCCGATTTCAATGGTCCTCCAAAGATCATATGTCTGTTCTATCTAAAGGATATTGTATATGGACACATCCGCAGTCACTTCGACGACCATCAGAGGCAAAATTAAACTTTAAATGTTAAACATCAATGTAGCGTAAATGGTTGTTATATAAAATGAGGGAGAACTGTATTCACAGCTAAACCGCATTAATAATAAACAAAAAATACAAACCTTATCTTATGTACCTTGACAACTGCCAGCATAATTTACTATTCATATTTATATTTCCAAGGATTCCAATTACAATACCAGTTTGGAAATGGTGTTCCCAACCATTACAGCTGGTTTAAAATGATACATGCAATTTTCGAGTCATCTCTCTCATTGGGGCAGCAAATGCGCATTGAATTCAGTAGCAGTGCATCTGTGGAACGTAAAACATCTCATTTTTTGAAATAAACGCAAACAAAAATAAGATACGGGAAAAAAATATTTTCAAAAAATAGGACAATAATGGAAATTAAACTAGATATTCTTCCTAACCTACTACTACTACTGACCGTGATTTTATTACACAAATATGTTCATTCAATGGAAATGTGTGAGTGCAACTAAATGAATGAATGCAACTAACCAAACAAAAAATAAAAATAAAAAGAAAATTGTCTCAAAATCGGTAATGGAAAATTTATAAATGATCAAAGAAATATTGGATAGAAAACCAAAGGGAAACCCAAAACCAAAAAAAGTAAATCCCCCAAAAAATGTAAAGCACCAATCTGTTAACGATACCAAAGAAAATATTAAAAAAAAAATAATGTATTGTTCTTTTCTATTTATGGACTGTTTCGTTTTTATATCCTTTGCTGTAATAGCCAACTTTACAATCAAAGTGATCTATGATAATTTACCAACAGGTGCGCAGCAAAATATCCTGGTGAATTTTCTATACACAAAATGTATAAAATTAAAAGTATATAAGAAATTAAAACTGTAAATGTGTGGTGAAAATGATTATCCTGCAAAATAGTTATGTTATTTACACAAACACTACGGACTTTTTTGAAATTAATAATGTGTATTTCAAAATAATGCGTGTTTATGTGAACATTTATTGCTGCAATCGCATTTTAAACGGATCCGCAATATTCTAATATGTGACAATTATAAGGAAATTAAATTAATTAAGCGACATAATATAGATCAACTAAAATGTGTTAATACTAAATTGAAAAATAATAACCCGATTCCAAGTCCAAATATTACTGAAGCATTTTTAAAACAGATGAAAAAATGATCGGTGATATAAAATATAAGTGATGTAATTAATTAGCAGTCAAATGATTGTGGAAGGATTTATTAAATACAGTTGAACTTCATTATAACGTAGCACTTAAGACCCGACGATTACCTACGTTATAGAAAACACATACGAAAACGGCTCATTTGTAATAAACAAACGTGCAACTCGACTGCTTGCGTGCTCGTTTTGTCTTTATTTTCTTGAACCGTAACCTTTTACAAGACGTGACTTTTTGACCTCCAAATATTTGACAAAAACTGTAACTCATAATATTTTAGGACCCACAGACATTGTATAAATTCGATACATTGCTTACGGCAATGTATATGTTCGATACATTGTTTCCCCTTCTACAGCTTTACAATTAACCACTTTAATTGGCCGTTCTTCGGAGGAAAATGAGGAAATCTTCTCTGCATATCTTCCAGGAGCCTTATTCGCCTAGTTCGGATTGTAGGGGAGAGTTTCGCTCTCTTCTACTATATCTCCTGGAAGCCACATTCGCTTAGTTCGGATGCAAACAGGCGCTTTCCAATGCTGTGGTCGTAGTTGTTGATCACGGCCTTGCTGTAGCTTTCATGCACATCCCAACATTACTTGCTTTCTAACTCCCGTTGTTTAAACTTGCTTTCCCGATATCGTTGAATAGACATCTCTCGCTTGAATAAACATCTCTCTCGCTATCGTAGTTAACGCACGCTAAGGTAAACTCTTGTTTCTCACGAAACCCATCTACTTTACAATAAAGATTGAAAATCTTTATTAAATACTATTTCGTTTTTCTTTTCTTTATTTTTTGGGTTTCACTGCTATTCGGTATCACGCCAACAGACATGAAATCGATATTCGTATATTTTCATTATAATTTTCCATTTTTTAGATTTTTTAGAAGTAGATTGTGTATCCAATTTAATAAAAATATTGCACAATTTAATATTTATACTGAAGTTTTTACCACACTGTGCTACAGGGTATTATGTCTTTGTGCATATGTTTGTAACAGGCAAAAGTGATCGATATATACCTACGATTCCTTTTGAGAATATGCATAGACTCACTTTCTGAGTCGATTAATGAATGTACGTCCATGTATTTTTCTAAGCAAAGTACAGGTCGCATTTATGGTCCAAATTGGATGAAATTTGGTCAAGGTCACTTATTTGGCCTAAGGACCAATGTTGCCAAAACTTTTTTCATAAAAAATGCTAGAAGGTGCTAAAATGTGTAGAAAAAACTTTTCTTATAGTTAATAATGAGATCTGTACTTCTTAAAAATTCATTATACACACAAGGTGTAGTGAGTGTATATGGGAAATTACAAAATTCTTTTAGATTCCTCGAAACTGAGGTTTGCAAGGTTATAACTTGCGAATTATGAACATATTGCATATAATTTAAATTCATTTCTATAAAATGAAGTTTTCTTGTCAAAATCTTGAAATATTTGTAATAAATAATAAGTTGGGTGGAAGCTGTGATGGTGGTAATGTAAAAAAATGGGTGAAAATGTGTTGAAGCCAACGAGTATTTTTGTTTTCGTTCCTGATTTGTGGCTAAACTACACAACGCACGCACATGTGATCAGTGACTAAGTTGCAGAATACCCCATGGACAATATGATTCTAATGTATGATTTTTTGATATAATCACTGCATCCACCCAAAACGGATGCTGACATTTTAAAGCCGGATTTTCGGTATTTTTTCAATTTTTCTTATAATCAGGACGCGCAACAAGATAATGGGCTAAACTGATTATAGGATTGTAGAACTCGTGATTTTGCTTCGTTTAGTTTATATCTCATGAATATGCTCACTGTAGCTTCTTTGCAATTGGTGCGTAAATTTTTATAAAAACCCTATTTTTTGAGTCTAAATTTAAGAAAGTTCACTCAAATGGTGTAGAATTCCGCGTGATTTTAGTTTTTTTTTTACGTCTCGAATCTAATGAGCCCATTAGATGCATCCCATGCATCTCATTCACGGGATGAAGAATATCTGCAGCTCTTCCACAGGAAAAAGAATTCCAAGGAAAGAATAATACCTGCAGCTCTTTAATAGGAATAAGAATACATACGGTTCTCCTCTAGGAAGAAGAATGCCTCCAGCTCTCCTATAGGAAGAAGAATACCTCCAGCTCTCCTATAGTAAAAAATACCTCCAGCTTTTCTATAGGAAGAAGAAAGTCTTCCATAGGAAGAAGAATGCCAGCAGCTCTTCCTTAGGAATAAGAAGACCAGAATCTCTTCCACCAGCTTTCCTATGGGAAGAAAATTACATGCAGCGTTCATATAGGAAGAATGATACCTCCAGCTTTTTCATAGGAAGAAGAATATCTGCAGTTCTTCCACAGGAAGAAGAATACTAGCAGCTTTTCCTTAGGAAGCTCTTCTACAGGAAGAAGAATACCTACCGCTCTTCCACAGTAAGAAGAATACCTGCAGCTCTACTATAGGAGGAAGAATAGATCCAACTCTCCTATAGGAAGAAGAATACATCGAGCTCTTTCAAATGAAGAAGAATGCCTGCAGCTCTTCCACAGGAAGCAGAATAGAATAGCTGGAGAAGACCTCCAGCTCTCCTATAGGAAAAAAATACCTCCCGCTTTCCTATAGGAAGAGAATTACTTGCAGCTCTCCTATATGAAGAAGAATACCCTCAGCTCTTCCATAGGAAGAAGAATAGCTGCAGCTCTTTCAAGGGAAGAATAATACCTGCAGCTCTTTCACAGGAAGTAGAATATCTGCAGCTCTTCAACAGGAAGAAGAATACCTACAGTTCTCCTCTAGGAAGAAAATTACCTCAAACTCTCCTATAGGAAGAAAAATACCTCCAGCTTTTCATAGGATGAAGAATACCTCCAGGTGGCCAAAACTAATGCAACTAAAATTGCAAGGTTAATAAATGCCGCATAAACTTTTCAAAAATAAAGACATCGTATTTTTTTTCAGTTTTAAATCTGGTAACTTAAAAAAAAACATTAATGCAAAGTTCGTAATGAAATAAATAATAATTTATGGATAAGACCATTGTCTCCATTTTTGCTTGGACAAAACTAAAACAATTCTACTGTACAAACAGATGAACTCTAAAATTTGTAGTTATAATTAGTTGGTCTGTTTCAGTACTTTTTTAATAGTAAAGCTAGTAAAGGGGAAACATTTCAAAATCGCTCTCAGAGTACAAAATAATTTATAAAGTTCGGGAACGCAAATCCAATAAATATGCCAAATTAGATGTGCAATACTTCAAAGTCAACATAACAGCCAATCAGAAGTTGGCATTCCTCTTTACCATTTTGAATCGGAAACATTTTTCGAGTAAAACGTTTACAAAGAGAACGCCACTTTGTTTTGTGCTCTCTTAAATTTGGTTCAATGTTTTACCTGTTTTGTGGGTTCAGGGACTATTATCGATTAAAAAGTTGCAAAACTTGTAAAAATAGAAGATTCTTTTAGGTTCTGGAACGGAACTACTATGTTTTGTTTTCTACACCTACTTCGATCATTATATCCTTCACCACGCTTGTCGTACAGGGTATTATGTCTTTGTGCATATGTTTGTAACAGGCAAAAGGAAACCATGGGCTTGGTTCCTTTTCAGAATATGCATAGAATCACTTTCTGAGTCGATTTATGCATGTCCGTCCGTCTGTTGATGGTTAATTGTAAACGAAGTACAAGTAGGATTTATTATCTGAATTGGATGAAGTTTGGTCCAGCTCATTTATTTGGCTCAAGGACGAACCATATTGAAATTGGGAAAAATCGGTTCAGATTTAGATATAGCTTCCATATATATTTTCCTCTGATTTAATGTAAATGGTTCCCTAACGTCCATTTCAATTTCCACCAAATTTTGCATAGAGTAATGAATTAGGTCTAGAATGATGTGTATTACGTTTCCTGAAAATCGGTCCAGATTTATATATAGCTCCCGTATATATTTTCATACGATTTAATGTAAGTGGTACACCAAAGTGCCTATATTTACTACGATTTGCAAAAAAATTGACATACCGTACTGAATGAAATTTAGAATTAGGTGTGCTAAGTTTCGTGAAAATCTACATATATTGTGTTCCGATTTCATGTAAATTGTACACTGAGGACCCAACGTTTTTCCGATTGACACAAAATTTTGTACAATGAACTGTAGTTAATATAAATTAATAGCTTCTACATATATATTTTCGTCCGATTTTACACAAAATTGGCGCAACATTTTAAACAACGTACTGAAGTTACTATCGGCTCCTATATATAGTTTCGTCCGATTTTAAGTAAAAGAGTTTCACCAAAGACCCAAAGATTGGCCGTTTGCTACAAAATTTTGCACAACGTACTAAAGTTAGTAGTTTCTTGAAATCGGTTCAGATTTGGATTGATCTCTCATATATATTTTCTCCAGATTTTAAGTGAATGATGCACAAAGAACTCAAAATTTGGCCGATATGCACAAAACTGAAGGTTAGGTTATAATACTGAAATTATTACAACCTAACCTGTGACAAGTTTCGATGAAACCGATTTAGATTTCGATATATCTTTCATATATATTTTCATTCGATTTTAAGTAAATGGTGCACCAAACTCCTTATGTTTATTAGATATTTATCCAAATAATCAATGAGAGTCCGATTGATATTTGCTTTAAATTGATTTACATAATTTTGTCCCATTGTAAGAAGCAACTCTACAACTGACCAAAGGAAAAATTTGAAAAGGTTGCAGAATGACATGTTTATGGATCCAATTTCCTGTTAATGGTCCTTCGACGTCTGTTAGGCTACATCTGTTGAATATACCCAAAGTGGTGAAGGGTATCATATAGTCGGCCCCGTTCCGACTTTACTACTTTCCTTATTGGTTTTGATTGTCACTGTTGATGCAGTCTTCTTCTTTCGTAAGTTCGGTTAGTCATTTTGGACTTGCGGGACTCACGGAAGATTTTGATGCTGTACTCGTCTTCTTGATATTAGAGCCGGAATGGCCACCACCAGTTGATGGATTTCCGTTCCAATCTACTTTAACTTCGGGTAGGCTATACCTTCTCTTACTATCAGTCGACTGGACGTAGATGATTGGCCCACCACTTATAAAGCTGCATTCCGAACAAATTTACCATAACGGGAGTGTGTCTTTGGTGGAATTACATATAGTCGCTTATAAATACAAATCTATTGTGCCAAGTTTTACCTCTTTTTTCCAACCAAGTTGCTCCAAAATAATTATATAATTTTTTTAAAGAAATCCTTAACCCTTTTCAGCTTATGATGCCTTGCGCCAAAAAATTATGGAAGCCGAAAGACAATCTTCATTGGGTGGTAATGTTTGGTTATCATCGGCTGAAGAAAAGGCCAATAGCATTCTCATGAATGCCAAACGAGAGGAGGTATGTTATTATTAAAAATATTTAAAATGTTCTTCTATTCATTTTCCCTTTACTCCATAGATTACTGAAGGCCTTAAAGATCCCACCAAATACCCACCGGCAATGCATTTCTTTCAGGGCAAACAATTCTTGCGGCAAAGCGAAGTCTTCCGCATCATTCAGAAAATGCCCAAAGGAGCCCTGCTGCATGGCCACAACAAAGGTATGGTCACATCCAAGTGGGTAATTGGTAATTTAACCAATTTATATAATTTGTACACATGTCGCGATGTGAGTGGCCTACTGATCTTCACCTACGATCAAGCGCAGTGTCACAGCGAAATAACGAATGTGTGCTTGGAACGTGTCAATGCCGAGGATAAGCGAGTCTATGAAAAGCGTTTAGAGAAACATATCAACATGTACACCATGCATCCGGAATGTAAGTACATTGTGCGATTGTTGCAATTCTCGTTGTTGTTGTTGTGGGCGATTTATTTTCTAATTTGAATATCAATTGACTGGGGGGGGCTTGTTGTCTGTTTGTTTGTGTGTGGTTCGTTCGTTTTTGCAGCCATGATCACCGACACCCGAAAACTGTGGAAACGTTTTGAGAACATTTTTATTACCATGGACCAGATGTTTAAATATCAACCGGCATTCTGTAATTATCACAAGCGTATGCTGGAGGAGCTGTGTGAGGATAATATTCAATATGCGGAAATAAGAGCCTCCTTGTCACCGGTAAGAATGTAGGTTATAAGGGAAGGTGAATTTAAATTATTTTTATTTATATTTTATTCTTGAATGTTGTTGCATTAATTTGTTGTTTTTATTTTCCAGCTTTATGGTGATAATAATCGCACCTTTAACTCTTTTGAAGTGGCCACAGAACTGGAGAAAATCGTTGAAAGTTTCAAAGTTAAACATCCAGATTTTTTGGGTATGAAAGTTATTTATGCCAAACGGAATAAGGGTACCGTTGATGAAATCGGCCAGCGAATAATGACCTTCAAACAGTTGCAGTAAGTATATGGGAAAACACATTTAGGAACTAAACTTACCTGTTTTTGATTTAAGTTGGCCATTTCATCCTGTCATTGCTCATATATCATATTCTGAGTTAATAAATTGATCCCCCCAACCACCATACACCACGGCGAGGAGTAGAGCACGCCCCTCGCCTAAACATTTGGTCCTCCGAGCGATGAGTAGAGCAAGTCCCTCGCCTAAACAACATGTTTATGGATCCAATTTCATGTTGATGGTCCTTCAAAAATGGGACGTCTGTTAGGATTCATCTATTGAATATACCCAAAGTGGTGATGGGTCGGCCCCGTCCGACTTTACTACTTTCCTTGCTGATTTTTAATAGTGAATTTTCTACTCAATAACCTTACAAAATGTAAAATTATAACCGATTTGGTTGAAACATATGTCCAAACTCACCAAAATACCGAAATTAGCGTTATATGGGGTTTATCCTTAAAAAATGGACCCATATTGATCATTTTTAGTAGGAAGATTTTTACCCTATGATAATCAAAAATACTGCATTAAAGCTCATTAGATTGAAAACGTGACCAAAAGCTCCAAAATACCGAATATTGGGGGGTACGGTTATATGGGGGTACCCCGAAACATGGATCAATATTGACAATATTTAGTAGGGAGATTTTCTGTCCAATATTAAATTATAACCAATTCTGTTGAAACCCCCATAAGCTTGCAAATTTCTAGTATTGATTGGTACCATTATGTGGCTAAACTAAATAGGGGACCAATATTGATAATGCTAAGTAGAAACATTTTCATTTCAATACTCAAAATTACTGGTGATTAGGTTGATAACTGTGTCAAAAAGCTTCAAAATACTGAATATTGGGGTTACCGTTATATCAACATCCTATAAGCAGTAGCAATGTATATGCAAAATTTCAAAACTTTATTCAAAACGAACTCAATACGAGAGTCAGAAATGTACTCTTTCTAACACCGTTGCAATTTTCGGATTCCGATGTTCCAGTGAGGAGTTATCATGCCCGTCGTCAAAGTTATTTTGAAATCGGTTCAGCATTAGATATAGCTTTCATATATATTTTTGTCTGATTTACCAATATGCCTACGTTTGTTTGATTGCACAGCTTACCGAATTGATATCAGAATGATGTGTTATAAGTTTTTTTTTTTGAAATTTTGAAAATAACTCCCATAGCTATAAAAATATACACTACCTTGTGCTATTGCACCACGGTTTTTTTATAGCTCCATTTACCAATTTTCCAATCAAAGCGCCTGAATTTTGGTATTCAACTTTCTTAGAGAGTGAGAGACATCATTGAAAAATCAAGTAGGGCATATCCATGGTTCTAGCGAAACTAAAATGGTTGTTTGGCATTTAGGCTGTTAAAAACATGCTAGTTTTGTAAAATATCGGTCTATATGTGTATTCTATAGCGTATATATTACCACTGAAAGACATAGACCCGAGAAGTTGCTAGTATATCCAAGACGAACGGTTGACATTTAAATTGATACCAAATATTGTCGTAGAGTAACACTTAAATATTTACAGATGCTTACGTATTCATATATTATTTAGTAACCCATTACTACAATAGAGGGCGGAAATGTCGCGCTGATCACTTTGAAATTTTCCATGAGGATCCAGGTCAAGGACAACGCCTTTAATTTTCGGTGATGATCAGACAATAATATTGGGATGAAGTGGACCGAAACTTACTGCTTCGCTCACTGGTTTTGAAATGCCTTTTGATCTAGGAGCTCTATCTTCTAACGCTGGACCTTTATCTATCTAGTTCAGTTCTGACGTGCTTGGCTCGGGCAATCTTCTCCAAGAGGCAAATACATGGAAGATTAAGCAACAATATCCTGTTGTGCCGATGTACGTATAAATCCGTCTCCTATATATGTAAATGGGCCAGTGGTATCATGAGGAGGAGGAGTATCATGAAGTGACTATTTGCAACGAAGTGTTTCTTCCAGGGACACCTTTGAACAGCGGCAAAAAAAAATCGGTTTAAAAATATTCCGACCCGTAATCAAATTTTATACCCTCTACCATAAGTTTGTCAGTCCTTTTGCAAAACCTTGAAATATTCATTGCAGACCCCATAAGTATATATTATCTTGATCAGAATAAAATTCTATGTCAATTTATGAATCTCCATCTATCTGGCTGTCCGTCTGTTGAAATCACGATAGAGATCGCAATATTTAAAATAAAGCTCTGACATTTTGCACAGGTATTGCTAGTAATCCCAGAATAATTGATATTGCAATTGATACATATATATATATATATATATATATGTATAGGTCCACGTTTTGATGTAGCCCCAATATAACGGTACCCGTCGATACTAGGTGTTTTTGGGATTTTGGCCAGATTTTTCAACCGAATTGGCTGCAATTTCGTATTTTGTGTTCTCATTGCATAGCACATCTTCGTACTAAACCTGTGAGGAAAGTAGAAAAGTCGGACTGGGCCGACTATATGATACCCTTCACCATTTTGGGTGTATTCTACATATGTATCCTAACATACGTCGCCTTTTCGAAGGAATTATAAGTAAACCGACTAACATCAATCCCAACACATGTCATTCTGCAACCTATTCTAATTTTTGCAAATAGATTTAGAGCAAACTTTACACACGCTATTTGGTATGCTTCACTGTTTAAAATGTAATATCAATCAGGCAGCCATTGATGACTTGGTGTACAATAAACATGAATAGGCATCAAGAAAACATGACACATGAAAGGTTGTAGTAACTTCAGTACATTGTAAAACATTGTGAGCGGGTCGGCCAATCTTTGGGTCTTTATTGCACAATTTACATTAAATCGGACGAAAATATATATGGGAGCTATATCTGAACCGATTTCTGACAAAATTTCGTGCAAATCGAAAGATGTATAGGGACGTTGGTGCACTATTTGCATAATATATCTGAACCGATTTTCACGAAACTTAGCACACATCATTCTAGACCTAATTCAGTACCCAAAGCCAAATATCGAGCAAATCGCAATATATATAGGGACTTTGGTACGTCATTTACATTAAATCGGATGAAACTATATATGGGAGCTATATCTAAATCTGAACCGATTCTCACAAAATTTACCACACATTATTCTAGACTTAATTCAGTTCGCTATGCTAAATTTCATGCACAGCGAAAGATAAATAGGGACTTGGGGCACCATTTACATTAAATCGGACGAAAATATATATGGGAGCTATATCTAACAAATATCATGGAGCTAAAACTTAACAAATATCATTCTTGGCTTATTTCAGTACCATATGGCAAATTTCATGCAATTCGGAAGATAAATAGGGACTTTGGGGTACCATTTACCTTAAATCGGGCGAAAAAATATATGGGAGCTATATCTAAATCTGAATCAATTTTCCCAATTTCAATAGGGTTCGACCTTGGGCGAAATAAAAGAACTGTGCCAAATTTCATCCAATTCGAATCATAAATGCGACCTGTACTTTGTTTACTATTTAACATGGACAGATAGACGGACGGATATGTATAAATCGACTCAGAAAGTGATTCTATGCATATTTTCAAAAGGAACCATAAGTTTCCTTTTGTCTGTTACAAACAAATGCACAAAGTTTTTGAGGGTTGATGAAATGATATCCCCCTTCAGTAAATTATTTTGTATCTTCCTTACAGCAATGCTAAACCAAATTTCATTATCGGCTTTGATTTGATTGGCAACGAAGATGCCGGTGATCCGCTGCACAAATTCGCCAATGAATTAACAGATTTACCACCGACTGCTAATTTTTTCTTTCATGCCGGAGAGACAAGTAAGAGTTTTCGTATATGTTTCACAAAACAAAAATAATTTGAATCTTAATTTTAATTACAGATTGGTATGGCAAAACCGATTGGAATATGATGGATGCCCTCCTGCTAAATACCAAACGTATTGGTCATGGTTTTGCACTGCCCAAACATCCTCAGTTGTGGTCGACCATTAAGAAACGTAACATTGCCATTGAAGTGAATCCGCTGTCAAATCAAGTTTTGGGATATATTTGGGATTTGCGAAATCATCCGGCATCGTTTTTAATTGCGGAGAATTTTCCCATCGTTATATCGTCCGATGATCCTGGCGTATGGAATGCCAAGGGTTTAAGCTATGATTTCTACTATGCTTTCATGGCATTTGCACCGGCCGAGGCAGATTTGAGATTTTTAAAACAATTGGCATTGAATTCGATAAAGTAAGAAGAAAGATATTTTATTTTAATATGCCATACTAATATCAAGCTTCACTTCTAGATATGCAATTTTGTCATCCGAGGAACGGCGCAAACTCAATCGCATTTTCCAAAAGAAATGGGAGGAGTTCATATACAATATCATAAATATGAAATTTTAAAATAGCGGTATTTGCATTAAATTTTTTTCAATATTTCATAAAGAGATTTTCAATAAAACAGGACATGGGGAAATATAATTTTTATTTTTTATTGTATATGGAAACATTAGAGGTAAGCGAAAAGGGTATAAAGTTGTTCTTACAAATATTTAATGCCAAAAACAATTTGTTTTCTTAGAATATATAAAAATCCCAATTATTATTACTTTTAAGCTTAAAAAATTATAAAATATATATCTTATTCCAAATTTACACAATATCCTTGGCATACCAACCATGCAGGCACTTGGGTACCGGTCCATTGGTGTGGAAAACACAACGACCCATTTCGGTAAAGGTCTTAGCACACAACACCAGTAGACCAACTTTATTCTCATTGAATCCACCCCAAACCATTGAGGCTAAAATGACGCCATCATCTTCATCCTGTGAATTGGGTGAGGGCACAAATATCGGTTCACTAGGGTAGCAGTCATCTTCGCACCATGTCTGACAGGTTTTATTGACAACATCGACCTTGATTAACTGTAAAAGAAGAAAGGGATTAGGAAATTGATTAATAAAGGAGTTGACTGCATAAAAACATTTAAAACTAGTGAGCGGAGCAGTATAGTCGGACTGAGCCGACCATATGATACCCTACACAACTACGACGGAGTTCTAACTTTCTAAGGAAGTTTATTCCGAGCCTGGGAAATATTTCGCGACATTTGCACCCTCTTGCCCGCACCCTCTAAAATTCAGTACATTACTTCTTATTACATGTCCAGATTGACTTGACTTTTACATTTCATACAGGTATATGACATTTTCGACGTTTACACCTTTTTGACAGTCGAAAACCTAAAAATTCGTCCTACGGACCATCCCTGGTGATGATCGCTTATAACTGTGGCCTATAGATCGATTCGAAAAATTGCAAAAAATTAAGTTTTCGGTCCACTTCATCTCAAAAGTATTATCTTATCATTACCGAAAATCATAAGCGCTGTCCTGGAACCCCATGGAATTTCAAATTGATCAGCGTTATATTTCCGCCCTCTATTGTGGTAATGGGATACTAAATAATATATGAGTATAAATTTAAAGATCAGCCACTCCTCTTGGATATACTATCAACTTCTCAGGTCTATGTCCTTTAGGACATAGACACAAAAGTCATTTGACCCGCTAAATATTGACCGATCTTTATCCCCTTCTCCATGTAAAATTTCACGATGTTCGGGTCATAATTGGCCTCTGGAGCGACCAGAAAAACCGACAAAAAATTAGTAACAACAAACAACAATAGGGGTCTTCATTGGCCAGAACCCATCCTACATGCAAAATTTCAATTTGAAATTCCATAACTGTGGCCTGTATCGTGTTTACAAATTATAATGGACAGACGGACGGAAGGACACATATGTCTAGATCGACTCAGCTAGTTGATATATGACGATCGGTATACTAAGAGGTGGGTCTAGGACCAATATTTCGCGTTAAAAACTCTTGGGGCTTCACAAAGCTATAATACCCTGACAACATAGTTGTATAGGGTATACAAATCCAAGGGAAAGTAGTAAAGTCGGACTGGGCCGACTATATGATACCCTTCACCACTTTGGGCATATTGTACATATGTATCCTAACAGACGTCGCGCTTTTGTTATATATCTATATCAGAACCAATTTCTGGGAAACTTGCCAGAGACTAATTTATATTACTTCAGTACGTTGTGTCAATCGGCCCAGCTGTGGATCTTTTCATGAAGCTTAGCAACATCATTCTAGACTTAATTCAGTACTCTGTGCCAAATTTCGCACAAATCGAAAGATATATAGGTACTTTGGTGCACCATTTACATAAAATCGGATGAAACTATATATGGGAGCTGTATCAAAATCGGAACCAATTTTCACGAAACTAAACATACATCATTCTAGGCTCAATTCAGTACGCTATGCCAAATTTCGTGCAAATCGAAAAATATATAGGGACTTTGGTGTACCATTTATATAAAATCAGACGAAACTATATATAGGAGCTATATCTAAATCTGAACCGATTTTCACAAAACTTAGCACACGCCAATCTAGACTTAATTCAGTACGTTATAACAAATTGCGTGCAAATCGAATGATTTTCAGAGACTTTGGTGCACCAATTACCTAAAATCGGATGAATATATAAATATATAAATTCGTGCAAATCGGAAGACATATAGGGACTTTGGCCTACTATTTACCAAAAATCGAGCGAAACTATAGTGGGAGCTGTATCTAAATCTGAACCGATTTTCACGAAACTTAGCACACATCATTCTCAGGGACTTTGGTACACCATTTCAGGGACTAAAGTCCGTAAATCAGGCAAATGTATATATTGGGACTATATCTAAATCTGAACCGATTTTTCCCAATTTCAATAGGGTTCATCCTTGGGCCAAATAAATAAGCTGTACCAAATTGCATTTAAATCGGATTATAAATGCGACCTGTACTTTGTTTACAATTTAACATCAACAGACGGACGGACGGACGGACATGCATAAATCTACTCAGAAAGTGATTCTATGCATATTCTCAAAAGGAACCATGGGTCTATCTTGATTCATTTTGTCTGTTACAAACATATGCACAAAATCATAATACCCTGTACCACAGTGTGGTGAAGGGTATAAAAAATCCACGCCTTATGTAGCCTCTCAAAAATATTTTTCCAAAAAACCCACGCCTTATGTAGCCTTTCAAAAATATTAAAAAAAAACCACGCCACAAAAACCCACAAAAATATTTTTTTTAAAAAATCCACCTATAGTTTATAATGATTCCTGGGCTGGCCTCCCTTGGCGTCAGGTCGTCCACAAAGATTTCTGGCCCTCAGTTCGTCTCCGGCCTCTATGTCGCATATAAAATATCAGTTCATTCACCAAGACTTCTTTAAGCCTTTAGCTCCCACCAGCACTCCAAAAAATACTTACCTCAGCTCGTCTATAAAAACTCCCTCCAGCTCGTCTTTAAAGATTCCCTCCAGTTGGACAATAAAGACTCCCTACAGCTCGTCTATACTGACTCCCTCCAGCTCGTCTATAAGGACTACCTTCAGATGTTCTATAAACACGCTCTCTCTCCCGATCTTATAGAAATAAACCCTCCAACTCTCCAGGAAAAGGCCAAATACAAATACTCCTCTCTCGTCTATGAAAAACCTGGTCTGAAAAGACTACCTTCAGATTGACTATAAATACTCCCCCCAGCTCATTAAAAAAATGAACTCCAGCTGTTCGGGAATTCCTCCTTACAACCCTATATGTAAGCCTGATGCGTATAAGTACGTTTGTCACTCATACGCCTTGATTTTTTAATATAAATTAAATTCAGGAGGTGTTTGTTTGTGTGTTATACTCACCGTTCCAGGATTCTCTGCATCCACATCGGAACTAATTGCATAGAAATATCGATAAGGTTTACCTTTAAAGAAATAAATAATTATACACATTCCGTTAGCAAAAAACTTCTCCTCCACCCTTACCCAAATATCGTTCATAGTTTATACGTGGTGTTTCACAGCCGAGATCACAAAGCATTTCGGGTCTCACAAATATTGGACCATTCGACGTTGTATGATACGCCTCCGCCTTGGTATTCCTCAGAGTTATTAAATTCTCTGACAATTCATATTTTTCATTTTTACCCGTAAAATTATAATCATCTTTGGTCACTTCGGGATTATTATTCATCGCAAAATTTATATCCTCATATTCGGTTTGAGAACGTTTCAGCTTTGGTTGTTGTAGTCTTGCACTGATACCCGAGAGCGTAAAGGATTTCATAAGTCTTTGTCTTCGTCCCAGTTGACGCTGCGATTCACCGATTAAATCCTCTTGGCTTTTACTTGCCAACGGCAGGACAAATCGTAGGGGTCTACCCCGAAAAAGTGAGGCATAATTTGGATTCGATTGCATATTCATCATCGATTCCAAATACATACAATTGATCATTTCAGGATTTTTATAACAACAAATATCAATGACCACATGATTATCCTGTTCGTATTGATTAATAATATGGAGGTAGAAAAATGGATCGGATTGAAATTTATGCACAACTTCACCGCTACGGCGTTCAACTAAATAAAATATGCAGGGTTTGTTATCGAACCATTTCAGACAGGCTGAGAAGTTTTGATTGAATATTTGTGCCTTTACGAATTCCGGCAGCGATACGGACAAAGGTTGTTCGACAATTATGAAATAGTTATCCGTCACTCCAAATGTGTGCATATAACCAGGATTCAACTTCCATCGACAGGGTATTTGAGCCTTCACATAGGCATTTTCGAACATACCTTCACCATGTGGAAAGCAGATAATGTTGTAAACTGGACCCGATTTTGTTGATGCCATACCCAAATTGTAGACAGTGCCATTGGGCATAACATGCGGGTGAGAGGTATGATTTACAACACCTGTATAATCTGTGACACAAATCCGCCCCTCGGTGGCTAATGTGCGGGGATTTATTCTGTAAATAAAACAAAAGAGGAGATTATAATGAGAAACAGCAAATATAGGGGCGTATAAGTGCTGTCATAAAGTATACGCCATATATTTAACATTTTTTGTATGCAGAACAGGAGAAGAGAGCTGAGAAAAGTCCCAACAGATACGTGAAAGGCTGTCTCTATAGGCGAACTAGAGGAAGTTTCCATTGGCCTGTTGGATGGGCGATTTGGCAGAAGTCTTTATGTTCGAGCCAGAGGGAGTTTTTATAGACTAGCTGAAGGGAGTCTTTATATACAAACTAGAGGCAGAATTTAAAGACAAGCTGGTGGAGCTTAAATGTGAGTTGGAGATTGTATTTATGGGGAGTTGGATAGACGAGCTGGAGGAAGTTTCTATAGACGACATGGAGTCTATATAGGCGTGAATTCATAAACGAATTATTTTTTCAAAAGTTGATAAAATATAAGCGTGGTGGCGTAGGGGATGATAGATACCAAGCAAAGGCTCTGATTG